GGTGCTGCAGCAAATACAGGCAATTGTTGTCTTGCCAAGGGCCCAGAAGGAAGAAGCTGCAGCTACCCAGAAAACCCAGTTAATTCCTTGAACCGATTTATTTACACAACCTCCAGATGAGTACACATAACATTGCCTTTGGAAATGATCCAGCTCCTCACTTGGAGCTGAAGGAGAAGGGCAAACCTCCTTTGAGAGGCCATGGCCGCCTGTTAATCTGCTGCAAGGTCTGCAGGAAGCGGGATGATGGCCTTGTCACAGCACGGGGCTGCCCTGGCACAGCCTGCCATGCCAACCCATGCTCAGTGGTGCCTGTTCAGTCCTGAGTGGGAGCAGCAGTGCCTCGAATCTCCTGCTGACTCGGGTGCTCTTGCCTGAGCCGCCTCTGCAGAGGAGACTTCGTGTTTTCTGTGTGGTTTGTGAGTCTACCAGGGTGTGAATGGGCCATTCACTATATGCTATTCTTCACACACCCCCCCTCCCCAACTGGTGAGGAAACATGGAGGAATGCTGGAGATTTCAGTGAGTTCCAGCCGGATGTGCAGGAGTCAGAGGCTCCTTCAGGGTAGCAAGAAAATGGCAATTTAGCAATAAAAAGGATGAGGGAGCCTGCATAACGAGACGAGGCTGTCGCTGAGGAGTGGTGGGCATATGTGCACACACAGACGCTGCTACACAGGCACACTGCTACCCCAATCCCAAGGCTTTCCTCAGCGGAATCCTTCAATCCAGCCAGAGCAACCAGGACAAACACTGCCAGTGTGCCCACTGGCTAGGCTGGCCTGGCCGAAGGCCAAGAGCAATAAACAGAAGGCAGTGGGATCCCCACTGAGCAGACCTGGGACACTGGGGCTTTTTGCAGGCTCTTCATTGGGGACATAATTACTGTCACTGTCTTCCCAGGCCTTGAGTAAATTCCGCAGCACTGGGGCGGCCGAAGGAATTAAAACTCCTGGTAGTGGGAGAATTTCTCCAGGTGCCTGTGGGAGAAAGAAAGTGCTAAGGGAGAGAGCAAGGAGAAAAGAGATGTGTGGGAACTGAGACAGATCAAAGCAAAGATGTATCAACTGAGTAGAGGTAAAATATTGTAAAGGAGACAAAAAGGAGTGTAAAGGCTTCAAAGAAAGAGGATAATGAGGAATGGGAGGGAAGCACACAGAGACCCAAGTAAAGCAATCTCTGGCTGCTTCCCCATGTTTTACAGTGCAGTAAGTCCAGGGCCATCTGTGAAGTCTTAAAAGAGGGGCAGGAGAGCAAAATGCATTCCTCTTTCATCATACAGAATTGTTCTAGAGAAGGAGGACCCCTGAAACTATAGACCTGTCAGTCTCACTTCAGTGCTCGATAAAATCATGGAAAAGACTATTTTGGGAAGTACTGAAAAACACTTGCACAACACAGTCACTGGTCAGAGCCACCACAGCTCCATGAGGGGAAAGCCCTGCTTGTCAAACCTGATTTCCTTCTACAAGGATAAACCACCCAGTTGATGTAGGAAAGCTAGTAGATGTAATTTTTTGGACTTCAGCAAAGCTTTCGATACTGTCTCTCATGGTATGCTTCTTGACAATATGTTTAGCATACAGCTGAATAACCGTATTATGTGATGGGTGAGAAACTGGTTTGTGGGTCAGGCACAAAGAATCATAGTGAATAGAGTAACAGCAGGCTGGTATCCAGTCACTATGGGGGTTCCACAGGGCTCCATCCTCAGACCAGTTCCCTTATAAATCTTCATAAACCACTTGGATGCAAGACTTGAAGGAATACTAAATAAGTTTGCCGAGGACACTAAATTGGGTGGAGCTGTTGACTCATTCGAGGGCAGAGAAGCCCTGCAGAGAGACCTCAACAAATTAGAGGACTTGGAAATTAGCAACCATATGAAGTTCAACAAGGAGAAGTGCTGGATCCTGCACCTTGGATGGGGCAACCCTGGATGTTCGTACAGACTGGTGGATGAAATGTTGGAAAGCAGTACCATGGAAAGGGACCTGGGGGTCCTGGTCGACAGCAAGTTGAACATGAGTCAGTAGCACCCTGGCCGCCAGGAGGGCCAACCGTGTCCTGGGGGGCATCAGGCAAAGCATTGCCAGCCGGTCAAGGGAAGAGATTGTCCTGCTCTGCTCTGCAGTGGTGTGGCCTCACCTTGAGTCCTGAGTGCAGTTTTGGGTGCCACAATATAAAAAAGATATTAAGCTATTGGAGAGTGTCCAGAAGAGGGCAATGAAGATGGTGAAGATGAGGAGGGCTGAGATCCCTTGGTTTGTTCAGCCTGAAGAGGAGACTGAGGGAAGAACTGATTGTGGTCTTCAGTATCCTCACAAGGAGAAGTGGAGGGGCCAGTACTGATCTCTTCACTCTTGTGACCAGTAACAGGACTTGAGGAAATGGCATAAAGCTGAGTTGGATATCAGGAAAAAATTTTTCACCCAGAGGGTTGTTGAGAACTGGAACAGACTCCCTAGGGAAGTGGTCACAGCACGAAGCCTGACAGAGTTCAAGAAGCATTCAGACAATGGTCTCAGTCACATGGTGTGGCTCTTGGGGTATCCTGTGCAAGGCCAAGAGTTGGCCTTAATGATCCTGACGGGTTCCTTCCAACTTAGCATATTCTATGAGGTCAAAAAGGAAAAAAAGAAAAATAAAATAAGAGAAAAGCAGTATCAACAGAATAAATAGATGTAATAAAGGCTGGTATTTTGAAAGTTGCTTGAAAGTGTTTGAAAGTCTTTCATGACAGAAAAATTGTGGGAGTGAGAAAGGGAAGGTTCTAAATAAATGTAGGGGAGACATGACAAAAAGACAAGCATTTTAAAGTTAACATATTATGTTACTTGAAAAAGTTTTGGGAATGACCCTTGCTTACATATTTAAGTCAGAATGAGAGAGAGCCGCCACAGTTCTGGAGGAGCAGGAACACTTGTGACTCAGCTGTAACACTTCCATGTCAGGAGAAAAAGCATCATTTTTTCCATCCCTATACGAACCTCAGTGAAAGAATAAGAGAGAAGTAAATGCCTTTTGCCTTAATGTCTAGAAAAAAAATAAATCAAGGGATTAAACGGATGATGAGTACTTGCAATTTGCGGGCCAGATTTTAGATACAAGAGCCTCATAAATAAGCATGATGGGCATAAGGGCTCAGAAATTTTGGCCTTTGGTCAGTCATACCAGTGGACTTCTTTAGGCCTCCTGGATGAGATTTTCAATATCCTAAAAGCAAAAACATTAAAAAAAAAAAAGGCTATTGAGAGCAGTTCCTTCAGAAAGCAAAAGCATGGTCTGCGAGCTAAGCTTTTCACAGCCCTGCATGTGTGAGCTCCCCTCTGCCAGTGAGGGTCAGGTCCACTGCAGCAGCTCCTCCTCACCACAGAGACTGGGTACAGACTGCCACTTCCATAAAAGAACAGTGAGTCTGATCTATCAGTTGCCTCTCAGGGGACTTATGGGGCCAGCGGCACATGACAGTGACTGCAAAATCACTAACACAGCAGCAAAAATCTCACTACATTGGTGGAATTTATAAAATTAACAGGCAGTACACTGTGGCTACTTTGATCAAGAGACTGTTCAGTACAAGGAGGGACAACACTTGGATTTACGAGGTAGGACAGCTTCTTAGATGCAGGCAGTTTCTTCCAGAGAGCGGAGTGAGAGAGCACCCATCACTGCTACGAAATTTCTGACAAAAGTTGATGTTCCAGTGAAATTAGTCCAGACTTCTAAATTTCTCTTTGAGGAAAAAGAATCTAAGTTTACAATGGAAGGGTGGAGAATCTTTATTTATGGATATTTTTATGAATAGATAAGTCACATGTCTGTCAGCAGTTATCTAACAGAGCTGGTTTTGCTTTGGGCTGGTCTCACTAGAAGACCACTGTAGGTCCCTTTCTAGATAAAAAGATTATATCACATACTTCATTTGCACTTAATGTTAGGAATTGCATTTCTTTTTTCCCCAGCATTTCAAATACTGTACAAGAACTTTATGATTACAAATTAATTGGTTTTTTATGATCTGTGGTGGTTGGACTGCAATTAATCTGTGATAATAGCTAATGTTGTCCTTGCATTAGCCACTAACACCTTATCTACACTCAATTCATCCTTAGCAAAAACCCATGCATTCTAATGAAATGAATTTATTATGGACATCTCAAATGCATTATTATTGCAGACAAGTCCTAAGTGATTTTGTTTATTTCTCTGCTATTCTCCTACTGTCAAGGCCGTTTCTTCTGTCTTCTTTCATGATCTATGTTACAGAGATCAAAATCTGCATCTCCATTTCATCAGCTGGAAAAAAGGTGCTGGAGGGCCACATGACCACTGTCTTTCTGTGTATAACCCAAGACACTGATTCTACAAAATTTTCCATCATGTTGTGTAAGAACTAATGTATTCTAAAAAGAAATGGCAAAGCTCAAGCAGATGCATTCTTCATATTTCAGTACTAGTTAGGTGGTGAACAGTAGCTGGGAAAAAAGTGAAGACTTTCATTACTGACTGAACATACTTATAGTACCTTAAGTGTTAATGGCATCCAACACATCAAGTATACGAATTAAAGGAAAAACATCATGAGAATGAAGGCTTCATGATTTCAGCTCATAGACCTGTACCCCCAAAAAGAGATGTAGAGAAAGCAAATCAGATCATGCTTAACTCATGCCATCTGCAAGCTCTTGCAGAGGATTTGTGCTACAGGTAGACACAAAGTCTTAAGATTCAGGATAGGTTGTTTACTATGTGTGAAGCAAAAGACTGCTTTTGGTGATCCACTTGAGGACAAAATACACACAAAGAGAAGATTTACTTGTACTTATAGATGTGTTAATAGCTGTAACACTTCTTTTACTAAGGGTTTATCAGTACCAGCGTTCAAGTCTCTAAGGTATATAACTAATATGAGACAAGTTATGTTACCTTTACAGTTTCGGAGACTATCAGATTATGCCCTGAACTGGGTCCTACCACTGTACCATTACGCATAAGGGAGAATGGGAAAGAGTAAATGGTTGACTAAAAGCTATGTACTAAACCAGAAGCTGAATAGAATTAAATTTTTGCCTGCATAATCTTAGTCCACTGAGTCGCTCAGCCTCTCCAGAGCTGCAGACATTTAGGAATAATTTGCTGGAAATTTCTTCTCAAGACTTTACCCCTTGGTTTAAAGATGCATTATTTCTTGTTGCCCTTTCCACTCTGTAGAAAATAAGGGATGGACAAACGGATGGCTGATTGCATTCCAGATACAGCACAGTCAGTTTAAAATGTGCCCAGAGCTGAGTCTTACATAGGCTCAGATGTGTTTGTTTGACAATGCTGCTGGTTTGACAAGAGGTTACAGCCAGTTCTTGGGCTGTCTCTTCAGCCAGACCTCTCTCAGTTTATCCAGGCTGATGCCATCTCCTCCACCTCTATCTTCAGGCAGTCCTAGTACATGGTACTGGCCATAGAGTCCAAAAATGAGGAGTCCTTTCACCTCATGGTCCTCCTCTAGCATTCTGGAAAAGGGCTGGTTCATCTTTAGGGAACTGCAACCAAGCTGAGCACAGGCCTGTCTTCTCATCAACCCCTCACAAGTCCAAGCTAGATTTGTAAAACCATATGAAGTATGGCTAGTAGCAAAGTCCCTTGGCAGGGTTATGTATTTCAGGACCGCTTAGAAAGTCAAAATTACTCATATTGCAAATCTTTCTAAAAGACACCAAGGAATAAATTCTGTGGCCACACAAGAACTCCAAAACAGGAGGACACAAAAGACTTGGTTAAAGACTCAGTATTGCAAGAACCTCCTCATGAAAATAGAGCACAGGCCTCACAATACACTTCTGGGACTGATAGAAGCTTTCATAAGCCTCTGGCCATGACTTTGTAACCCCTTTCTCAGATGAGCAGGCCTTACTCAGGCAAATCAAATAGGAAGCCTGGTATGGATAGCAGCTTTCAGCTCTTGCTGCTGTGTTCTGCTCACATTGCTTTACACAGTACTACTGTGTGACTTCTTATGCCCCAGCACCGTGAGAGTTGGACACAAGCAATACCCAGAGAACCACATCTGCTGCACACCCCCAGCAGAAAGTTTCTTCCTGCAGGATCCCCAGCTTACTTCATGCCACAGCACTGGGAGAAGGACTGGGTAGTTCGCAGAGAGGTGTCAGAAGTGGTTTGCATTGTGCTCACACATACAGTATACAGTGCGGGGACCAAATTGTTATTCTGCATCTACAATGTCTCTCTTACGTAGGCTCAGATCAATATGCACTGTTTCCAATATGACCTTCATGGTGAGTACTGCCACATGGAGAACACATGATAGCTCTTACATCAATAAAAAAATTGTTTAATAGCAGCTTTTAGCTGTAGTTATTATTTTATATCATGGGTTTTTTCCTGAGGCTATTTGTGTTGTGATCCAATCTTCCTTGTTAGCCATATAGCAACTTCCTAGTTGGTTGATGAAGTTTCTTAAAATAACTAAGTGATGAAAACAGAGCTGATGATGTGTTTATCTTCTGGCCTTTTAATGTGATGTGCTACCTTCTAAACTGAAACATGAAATTTTTCCTGCTGTCTCTGGTTACTTTGTTGTTTTTTTCACCTTAGTCTCCACTCTTCCTTTTTTTATCCACAGCTTGACCCAGATAGCACATCGCTCAAAAGTTACATCTGACTTGAGTTCAGAATCTATATTATTCAAGTGACTTTGCTCTTCACATTAAGTAAAATGGTTTAGCTCCACAGCTTTTGATTAAAGAAAATGAAAGATCAAATCATTTATCTTTGAGTTATGATGTTGATAAGGGCCACAATCCTTAAGGAGGAGAATTATTAAAACGTCATACACTAAGCTGTTCATTATTCTGCAGTCTTGCAGCATTCCTTTCTGTTAACACAGAATGATACATTATTTGCAAAAAAACCCAAGTCACTGAAATTAAAGAAAATTATTGAACACACAAGACGTGCATAAATCAGACTGATCCTGAATCTGGACAGAAAAGCATGAAGTTCAACTTCTACTTTTGAAGAACAAACATCTGTTAGCATGTTTTTCTTGCGGGACAGAGGCTGAGCAGTGATCCTGCAACATCAAAAACCTCGTTCTCTAATCTTTGCAGAACCTGCTATTGCATGATTGTGGAAGCCCCTACCTTCCTATTTGCTTCCCTGGAGTGACGGCAAAGTCTTTCCTTATCCCACCACTGCCACTGTCACCAACACAGTGGGGTGGCCCAGCCTCTCCTCAGAAGGAAGAACCCATTGCTGACACACATTTTGTTTCGAATCAGAAGACTATTTCTGGATACCACAGGGCTGACTCACCAGCCTGAGTTCAAATCCCCAACCACAGGATTCAGTTCCTTTTGCTTTATTGCTTTGGTTTTACTTCTTCATAATAAAAGAAGAAGCTTCTGAGCACATGCTGAACATATCCTCAATGTCTTTCCTCTCTGGGCTGAGCACAGGCTTGGCAAAAACCTTTCTCTCTGCCTACATGATTTTGGAGTTTAGAGAAGCCATCCTTTTTTCTCTTCCTTCATCCCAGGTCCACAGATATCAACACAAATATCCAAGAGTCAAGAATAAAGGAAGTTCGTCACCCATCCAAGATCAGTGTTCCTTGCTGACGTAAATATCACATGATCTCCAAGTGTATTGTCTTGAAGGCAGGCCTTGGCAATCACTTGTCAGTCAGTGGCTAGAAACTTTAATTTCATCACTGTGAGGGATTCTCATGGCAGAACTAGACCCCATGGAGCTGTTATTTGAAGACCTATTTGTAAAGAATGTTTAAAGGGTCTGGCTAGCAAAGGAGCCTACAGGCCTACTGGATCACCAGTTCCAGTCTCCTCCTGTCATGGGCAATCCTGTCTTGTGATTTTTTTTAATTACCAAAGACGTAAATTTAAATTAATCATTTGTTGCCCAAGAGAAATAAAGGCATTTGAAAGATCTGAAAATCTTTTTCTGGGTTCTGGTCTAAATTTTATTTACAGGCAATCTCTACCCATCTATTTCTGTGTCAAATATAGTCTTCATACTGAATAACTTGTCTCCCTCCTCAGCGCTCACCCCTCAGTGTATTTATAGTCAACTCTCACGGCTATCCCCAGACTTTATTTTGCTGGGCTAGACAAGCCATGCTGTTTTAACATCTTCGTTTTTCTTTCAATCATTGCTATCACTCTGTTTATATCTATTCATCATTTCAGTGTTCTACTTCTCCTGGACATCTGACTGTTTGACACAGGACCACAGGCAACTCAAGAGGAAGTTTCACCTTGGCCTGATACCATGTTATAAACACTTTTTCACAAAGAATATTCCATTCAGGTTGGCTTTTGTCTTTTTGACGGGGACATCACATGGGCAGCCTAATAATCTTCCTGTAGTGGACTAAGACACCTATGTCTGTCTTCTCTCCTGGTAGGTGCCTATAATGAGAGTGAGTGCACACATCAGGGATGTGCTTCATCAAACTGGTGCTCTCAATCCCACTGTTTCAAATACTTGGGGATTTGGCAACGAGGTAACATGACAGACTATCACATCAAGATGTATGGTCCAGAGGGATGTGCTTGCATGGAGCAGGGAGATGCCTCCAAGGTGCAGGTTGGCACCTGGGCACCCAGGATCATTAAAATATGAACAGCTGTTTAGCAACTTTGAGGAATCATCAGAGGTAGCATAGATCAAGTTCGCTTCAGATAGGCTAATAGAAAATTAGCTAGCAAAAAAACATTGGAGGGAGCAGGTTCAGAAGAGAACTGAAACCAAGTTTTTCTCTAATGGGGGATTAGAAAGCAAACTTAGTTTTAGCTGGTCAACAGATACATTATTTAAGTTGCATTGATTGGGATTATTAAATCATTATCTATTACCTTATTTAGATTAAGACAATTTCCTGTTAGTGGAAGCAGTATTAGAAGAATAGCATAACTTTCCTGTCCCTCAGTATGTGTATGGAAGTCCTTCTTTCCTTGCACCTTTCTCACTGCAGCCGGGCTGCTGCACAGCAGGGAGGGCAAATCCTTGGGCTGAGAGAGCAGCAGCATACAAGAATGTAACAGTACAGCATAGTTAGGGGTTACACATCCATGTATGAGAAGAGTGTTCTCTGGTTCCAGCTCTCTGCTCTCTGGATTGATTCTGTATCTAGCATTGGACTGTCATTTGTTTAAATCTTTGTTTAAGTTATTGAGATAAGACTTACAAAGAGAATACCAACAAATTTTGAAGGATGAGGACTTTTTTTCATCTGTGCTCATATTCAGCTGAAAACTATGATTTTACTTTTAACATTTGTAATCCAAGACTGTTTCTATATCACCCCAAATATTCAGATATGCTGTAAGTACTCTTACATTGTTTCTAAATTTTTTTTTTCAAAAATTGACTTTAAAAAAATGATAAATAACCTGGGATTTACTGACCTCTAATGGCTAAATTAGGATCTTCCACCTTTATTTAAATGTGCCACTGAAATGAAAAAATACATTTGGTAACTGCAGTTTTTTTGAGCCAAGACATTCCATTTTCAAAAACATGTCTCCTCCTTTTGGTGAAAGAGAATCAGTTATTATTTTACATGGGGTGAGTAATATTATTTTTGATTATGTGAGTAAATTATCAGTCACTTTCCCATTCCCTGTAATTACAATGATAAGGGGAACACAAGAAGCTGGGGTGTCTGGCTTAGTGCTTTTTAAACAGTTCTGCATGCTCTGCTAATGCAAAGGCAGCAGTTCCCTCAGCAATTTTAATTCTACCTATGGACAGATGAGGTTTACTGTATAAGCACATTACTGAAACATTTCACAAAAACATATGGAAAAAACAAGGAAAATCAGGACTGGAAGATGTGAGTATTGCATCATGAGCAGAATTTGTGAAGACTCTGGCTTATTCTGACCTCTGGTGACCAAAGACGCAAAACTAAACCCCAGGGAGCTCAGTGCCATGCTTTGTCTGCCCCTGCATCCTGCAGAACCCTGGCTGCAGGCAAAGGAGGAGGCTGGTGGAAGACTGGAGGCATTTTAACCTGCTTGGATTAAAATACATTAAAAATAAGCCCTGATATCATTATAGGATCTAGTTAGCTGTGAATATTTTGAGTGAAAGCTGCATTTTCCCCATCAAGGGTAGGCAAAGGGCAGTTCAGCCCTCATCTGCTATTTCCTGCTCTCCTAAAAAACAGCCCAATGGGACCACCATTTATCTGCCATCTATGGTCCCTTAGCCCAGAGAATCAGAAGTTACCATTTCTGTTTATGGCTCATAAGGTATTGATGCCTCAGAGGTTTTTTGGTTTTTTTTTTTTTTTAAACGTTTCTAGATTTTAGAAGTAGTTGTGTAATAAATTTAGATTTTAATGTAGCTGTATTATATCCCTTACCCGTAGCATAATGTTTACACATACCCAACCCTATTATCCCATTTCATATCAATCTCTCTAAAATTGTGTTAGTGTGTTTAGCCTTCTTTTCAAGAACTTCAGTTATAGAAAAACACCCTAAGGCCTGGACCAGAAGATATTACACAGACACAGTGACCTTCAAGCCCAGAAGTCTGGAGGAAGTCACAGGACTATACGTTCTGCAAAGAAGATGAAGATGAGGAAGAAGGTGTCCCAAACACCCCGAGACCCAATTCCCAAAGGGGCGTGTCAGGGGGTAGAACGGGGCAGAACCAGGGTAGACAGATCTGGGATTGGACAGACTTTATTATAAAATCATAGAGCCACTGTCTGAGCGTGTGCACATGGTATGTATTTGTCTGGGCCTACGGACTCATTAAAGGACCTGCTCTCTTTATCTTATCTTATACATTAATTTAGCCTGGAGTCTTTTTTCTGCATGGTCTTTTAGGCAACAGTGTTATCCCATTGCCAAGGAAACAGGCAGAAAAGTTTATAGAATAGATGGACAAATATTATTGAAAATAGGATAACAAACTATGCCTCACAACTGGATGTTTTCTGATGTGCACCATAATTTTTCAAGAAAATCATTGTGTTTCTTCTTGCATAGTCAGAATAAATCAATCAATTATAGTTTATCCTCAACTATCGATATGCTTCTACTATTTTTATGACAAAGCCCTTCAAAGCATTAACAACAGTTTTTTCCATGTTTACTATGTAAGATATGGGTTCACCTTTTCTGTGTTGGGTCCACCTATTCTGTGCATCTGAACAAGATGTCATATAGTATGGAATATCCCTTTGGTCAATGTCCACTCCTACCTCCTTGTGCTCTCCCAGACTTCTCTCTGGTGCAGTGGGTTAAGGAGACAGAGTGGCAAAAACTGTGATCATATGATAAATTAGTTTAGCATAGGGATTAAAATCTCTGCTTTTATCAAACTGTCATTTATCATACTTCCAAGTTATAAGTTACTTATGACTGCTCTCTAGAACCAACAATATGCTAGTAACTGTAGTTCTGGAGATCCTGTGTCAACCTCATGGAAAGAAGGGGAGTGCAACATCACAGGTTTTGAATTTTGCTCATGTCTGAGCATCAGATTTTCACAGATGATTGACTTCATACAGCTCTGCTTACCCACATCAGATCCTACAGGTAAATTAACAGGTTCATTAGCAAGGGCTCTCAAGGCCATTCATTGAACTATAATTTCCTTGTGGACATACGGTGATGATCTTACAAAAGTTGTAGAAATCTACAGCACAGACTCCTGTAAGTGTTTTTCCTTAGGATTTTTCATGTCATCAACAAAAGGTGGTTTTAGGGTGTGGGTTTCTTACTTGTTTGAGACATATGATTTAGGATGCACAGTCTACACGAACTCCTCCTCTGAGGAGGGCAGTTCTGCTCTGTAAATGTCTACTTTTAGTCTCCAGCGTGGAGACACCCAAAATCCACTTTGGGGGATCCTAACATTTGAAGGGGGCACATTGGTGTGTGATATTGGCAGCAATGGAGCAGTTGTCTCCATTTTTCCCATGCCATGTGGGGAAAAATTGAATGTAATTTTGATATTTTTGGTGGTTTTGGCTGGGGTAGAGTTAATTTTATTCACAGTAGCTAGTATGGGGCTATGTTTTGGATTTGTGCTGAAAACCAGGCTGATTATATGGAAATATTTTTGTTACTGCTGAACAGCACTTGCACAGCGTCAAGGCTTCATTGGTTTGCTGTCAGATTACATACTGATTTCACAGTCTGCTTCATTCACATTCGAAGTCCTGAGCCAGGGCTGCAGAGCTGTCTCCACTAACCTAGTCTTTGGTTATGTTCCTGAGGGCAGTGCACTGAGGTCTGAAGCAGCAGGGTGCCGTGTTATTGCCTCAGTTATTAACTCAGGTCAGTTGGAGATAGGGACATGTGGCAACCCTGTTTTGTGAATTAAGTTATGGAATTCACTGTTCAGTCTGTATCCTGGCACTTAAAAGAAAACTAAAGAAATACTGGTTCCCCAAACAGTAAATGCTGATAATTTTATTTTGTAGTTATTGGTTCAGCACTCGGAAACCAGGCTGTGAAGGATACTACAGAAATGTAAACAGCTGGAGTGCCTTCCCACAAGCACTGCCTGGTCTTACATAAAATGTTTTAAATTATAAAATTTGTACTGCTTCATGGAGAGGCTGCATCACAGTCAAATTTATCTCTAGGCCAGGAGTTCCTGAGATAGCCAGGCACATTTTCATGTGCGTACTTTGCCTTGTAGCTCCAGCAATCTGTCAGTCACTTAGAATTTTATGGCCAACAAATATTATACACTTCAGAGATACAGCAAAGTAAAAAAGGAAGAAAAAAAAAGATGAAAAACTAATGAGACCATCACCTATAGGTTACAGACAATCACAAGAGAAGTAAGTGGCTTTCCCTGGCTGACTACAGTGGTGGTGGTTATGAAGAGCACTTCCACACAGGATAAAACCATGTCTATGAAGACCAATGCTTTAAAAATAGTTCTTTGCAAATTAACTCCTGCAGCCCCTTAATCCCTGTTGTTCTTTCCATTACTTTCAGGGTACTTATGTGTTTCTTCTACTTCAGTTGTTAGGACTAGAAGTAGTTTTTAAGGGCAGTCTCAAGAGGGAAGAGTGGAAGAAGTCTATTCCCTGCTGACTGACGCAATTATTCCAGACCACAGTTAGATTCCATTTGTTCTTCCTGAAGCAGCAAAACATTTTTTGGCTTAAGGATTGTCTGTGTAAAGAAGAAAGGAGAATTTACAAACAAAAACACCAAGTAATTCAATTTCAAATGTTATCAAATCAGGATCACATAGTTATCAAGGCTGTCTTTTCCTTTTGTAAAGTCAGATATGTTCCTTCCATTACCTAACCATGGGGTCCTCACTATGTCAGGACCTCGCCAAAATTACAATGTGAGTGCAATACTTACTGCGATTGGATAGTACTGCTTCATGATTTTTAAAAAACTGATTGAAAAGTAATACCACCCACGCAGAAAAGAGCTGCTATTTCAACTGGTTTCCTGTTGGGATCACTCTTTGCTGGACTTAGGTGTAACATCTCACAAATCAGCTGTGAACCTTATCTCAGTTTGTATCATGGACAAATAAAACAGTTTATAGATTAACAAAGAAATATAATTTCTCTGTAGCCCCCTCCAAAATGTTTTTAGCATTTTGCTTCAGTAATAATAATTATTTGGACAGTTTGAAAGTGGAACAAGAACATGAAGATGAATCAATGCATCTTTCCCTGTACTTCATTGCAAGACTCTTTGGGAGCAGGAATTTGGTGGAGCAGCTGTTTATCAACGTAAGTGTAATGAGTTTTAATATTTAAATCCTGTGACAAGGGGTCTGACTGAAAAGTTACAAGACAGGAGCTTTTCCTTGTTATGTTATGCAGCCTTTTCCTCATTTTTTTTTCTCCTTGTCAGCTTGCTGCTACTGTTTGGTTATTAGGCTTTGTTTATTAGGGAGTATTGCCTGTCAGGGGTAGGAGCCCAAACAAGCCAGGTGCTTTGGTGAACATGACCACACTAGCTAGAGACAACAAGCATAAACAAAACTTAAGTCATTATAACAAGACCAAGTGAAAAGGCCTATAAGCTACAGGCTGGTGGAAAAAATGTGGGATAATACTGGGAAGAGATCACTATGTGTTTGCCTGCTTTTCTGCTTATCCTGGTCATCTACCATTGCTACTGACAAAGAACGGGACACTGGAGTAGATGGGACCTGTTTATGTCTAATGTTCTGCTCCTATGAGATGACTGAGCAAGGGAGCGCTGAATGGGGCAGCAAGTTTCATTTGGTGTGGTTTAACCCACTTTCTAAACCTACTTATTTCTACATTGTTAGCTTTTGGTTTTAAAGCAGCCCAGACATTTTTAGTATCTATGTAAAAAACAACCTTCAGCTGTTAAAAGAAATCTCTGTGACCCATCTAAATTGCAAAGACAACCTCTAATTGTAAAGAATCATCAAGGCAGGAAAACCAGCACCCTAAGAAATTTCTCCATTTTATCACTCTGAACTTGATTGGTATTTCCTCAAATATCAAGAATTCATTCTTCAGTTTATGCTTCATAAATCAATAAAATAATTAATTTGGTGGTAGTGTGCAGGATGATGTCAGTATGTTACTTACATATGTTGTTTGTGAGATACATAGAGACCACAGGGAGAGGACAATACAAGTTATTGTATGTCACAGCCCAGTGCACGTCTGGATACGGCAGTGGGTGAACATTTGCCGTGTGGCATAAGAATTAGGGATCATTGTGATTCCAGCTGTGACGGAAAATGCTATGGATGGAGAGTAGAGTCTTTTTGAATAACACCCGTGGAAACTTCTGGCTCTGGGTTTGCTCCGGTGCGGGATGGCTGCCACTGCCACTGCTGAGGTCCAGGTCCTCACTCCCGGGAGAATGCGAGCCCAAGCTCCACCACCGGCGAGAGAAGGAACCACTTAATCTTCCGTGGAGCTGCCTCTCTTCCCTCAGCCTCCCCAGCCTCCTCGGCCGGCTGTGGGGAAGGCGGGCGATGGCGCTTCCTACCCTTCCCAGTGTTCATGTCTGAAATGTCACCTGCCCCCTGCCTGTCACAGGCGGGTCGGGTGGCAACCGGCATTCCGGAGGAACCCCTGGATTATTTTATCCCATAGCGTAAATATGCTTCTTAAAAAATGTTTCATCCCAGAGGATAAAACACGCCTCAGCAGCACGAAAGCTTTGCAGTAGTAGCACATGACCACAGTGTGGCGCCAGTGTAATGGCAAGCTGGGTCTCCCGGCGGCAGCGGGGACACTTCCTGAGAAGAGACAATGCCTCTTGTTTTGGTTGGTGTTTGTTTGTTTTTCTTTTAAATACTGAGACAAAACTCCATCTCTCTGTCTGTCTGCCCCAGAAATTATTTTCTCTACAACTACCTGAAAGGAGGTTGTAGCCAGGTGGGGGTTGGTCTGTTTTCCCAGGCAGCTCTCAGTAAGACAAGAGGGCACAGTCTCAAGCTCTGCCAGGGGAGGTTTAAGTTAGATATTAGGAAGAAATTCTTCACAGAGAGGGTAATCAGGCATTGGAATGGGCTGCCCAGGAAGGTGGTGGATTCTCTGTCCCTGGAGCCATTTAAGAAGAGACTGGATGTGGCACTTCGTGCCATGGTCTAGTAACTGTGGTGGTAGTGGATCAAGGGTTGGACTTGATCTCAGAGGTCCTTTCCAACCCATCTGATTCTGTGATTCTATTAAACACCGTCTTCTTCTTCAGAGCATCCAATTACTGGCACAGCTCAAGGGATTGCTCTTTCAGTGCCACTTCTCTCTGCTTTTCCAGTGTTATTTGGCCCCAAACCAATACGGCTCAACCACCTCAGCTGGGTAGCTGTCCTTTAGCAGTGTCAGCATCAGCATAAAGACTGTGTTCAAGAGAGGTCCATGACGACAGATACACGGGCCTCTGTGTACCACCATCACCACCTCTCAGGATCCCCACTCCCACCAGTGACTGCAGGAGAACCAGAGCAGAGTGGGATGTGAGTTTTCAGATTCTTCCCAGTGGAAAGTTGGGTTTCTAAATACTCTCACCACAAGATTCGTCTTTCTGTGGAAAACCTCAATTTTGTCTGGAAACGAAGTCTGTTTGTTTTCATTTCTATGGACCCCATAAGGTGGACAGCCAGGTTATTTAACTCAGTTAAAACTCAGCTCAGTTCCTAAATTCGTGTTTGAGGAACAGCTTACCAGTGATGGACCTGTTACCTAAGGATGCTTTGGTCTCAGGTCCAAAGAGGAAAGCAGATGCAGAAGTGCCTGGGAGCCCTAGAATTTTTTTTTTTTTTTTAATGAAAAAAATATAAAGCCTCTTAATTTTTTTATAAAATAAAATTGTCTTTAATGGTGCAGAAAACCCTCTGCAGAGCCAAAATCATGACAATGGAGTCTGGATGGACTGACACACCAGCTGAAGTATCCTGCAAGAAACAGGCAGCTGAGTCAAGGATGAGAACAAACTACTAATAAATTAATTACTGGTATTTCTCATTCAAGATGTCTTAAAATCTGAATGATTGTTTCTGAAGGCTCCTTGACAGTGAGTTGAACAAAGTAAGTTAAACCCTTGACAGTGAGTTTAACAGACAGAGGAAAAGAGTGCCCGTTTCTTTTTCCTGAGCTAATATAATGCTTTGTAGGCAGAATCTTAATGATAATGAATGTCTATTTGTCTTTAGTAGTTTATTGCCTATGTAACCAAAGGCTGACTTACACTTCTGTCTCCCAGACCTTCACTTTACAGTGTTAACCATTACCGACAAGAGAGACTGTAACAGTTGTATCAGGGGCGTCCCTACCCAAGGATTACGGAGTTTTAGA